TTTTTTTTTTTTTTTTTTTTTAAACTAGTCCTCTTGCAGTTTGATTTTCAGTGCTCCTTCTAAGCCTTTATAAAGAAATAATTCCCAGGCAAACTGCTAATGTTCTTGCAGAGTTTAAATGGATTACATTTATATTAGAGCTGTTACAAAGCTCAAGATAGCCACAGAACCAATACTCAGGAACCAAATAACTATTAGCACTTCCTTCTCCACTTATACATTGCTTCCAAGATTTAAATTTCCATCAAGGGATAAAAAGCAGGACTGGACTTTTTTAAAAGCAGTTCAAAGATCTAAAATTTTAACAGTTTGGCTTCTTTCTGTATCTCCGATGTCAGTCCTACAAAGACCAGATGGGTTGACAAATCGCAGTAGTAACTAACATCCATGTTGCAAAACTTAAATATTCTTTTCAACCACAAACCCATAAATTAGACTGACACCATGGGCAAGTACGTGATGAGAATGACATTGCATTTTATAAGTGAAGACCAAAATCATTGACAAAAAAACGCTGGTGCTGAAAAAAAGTTGTTTGTTCAAATGTGAGAACTGAAATCTATGAAGGGACAGAAGTATTTAACTTTTTACATTCTGTTATGCCTTTTGTTCTTGGAGCTATTTTCCCTTCAGCTCAGATACACAATCTCAAAGTGTAAATAAGCACCTCAGAAAAAAGAAATTATCTAGAGCCTTATTTTCTGAGGTGCGGAGCACTCGGCCTCTGATGGACTGGTTTTACAAGACAGAGATAAGAAAGTCAAAACATTTAGTTGCATGAGATAAAGAAATGAAGACTGTTCAGTTTGGTGACCAAAGAACCACACAGTTATAACTGAATAACCAATAATGTAAGATTTTACTTGAGTTGCAGGATGCTAAAAACTACAAATTATTAAAGCACCATTTTGGCACCTTTTGGAAGCCACTTTTTCCTCCACCCTTCTTGACTACCATCATCAAATTACACAATGAGGAGCTGAACTCTCCAGGTGATGGTGAACCACCACCACCACCAGGCCAAAATAGTTCTGGAAACTATTCATCCAAGTTGATGAAAACTGGAACTATTTAACCATTAAGTTTAAATTTAGGTTTACACTTTATTTCATATAAGACCACTCACACACCAGGATAGAAATGCTATTTCTTTTCCTCTCATTTTGTACTGTAAAATATTAATGAAGAATTATATTGGCTAACATTTAAATTGATGACTCATTCTGCTCTTCATTTTTAAAAAAAAATTGTCAGATTTTGTCTAGGAGGGACCTATTTTAATTAATCCATTTTGTAATAATTTTAATTTTGTATTTTCTTTTTCCAATTCATAATTTTAAACAAATGTCAGACTCACTTTAAGGCACATTTAAAGTGATATATCCTCATTATGACAAATGGGGATATACACATCCTTATATACAGAGGTGAGAACTTAAATTAAAGCTTGGAGGCTAGTACAACACATCTTGTTTTAGTATTCTAGTATTTTCAAACAAAAAACTAATGTTTTGAATGATATCCAGTTTAAAACCATTATAAAAATAAGTGAAGGATTTCACATAACATTTACCAAATGACAAACAGATAAAAATAGGAATTCCTTTCGGTGAAGTTTCCCATTTCATAGGAATTCTGCTACTGCACATAATCACTATAGCAAGGTCTTCCTCAAACAACTTAAGATTTAGATTTAGAAATTTATTATTTAGAAAAATTAACTAACTTGCCGTTCTGGTAAGTCAGGGTGACAAACTGCTTTGGGGTTCACACTAACATTTACTCTACTCTGAAGTTGGTAATAAGTGACTCAAAAGAGTTGCATCTCATCAAAATGAGGGTCACCTCTTGCAATAAAAACTAAGAATTTTACACTTTGAAGAGCAGACTTGCTGAGACAGAAAAATAAAGTGACACTTTCACGCCCCCAAAAATTGAGATATTGCACCCTTCTTACAATTAATTTCAGCGTTTCAACGCTCTATGTGGCAACCAATGTGCAATTTTCTTTAGATAAAGATGCATATTTCAAAGCCACTGTAGAAAATAAAGGTTGTACTGAACTGCAGTAGATACCTATATGGATTACGTGAAATGTTTCATGATGAATTTGTGAACTTCTGCCATAAGGGTTCAATAATTGGCCCTGAAATTAGCAGTATTAACAGTAATACAATTTCAGCTATCCTCCATCTCAGAAACTTGTTAACAGAAAACATAAGGATTATTTGATTTGAGTTACACTTAACACTACAAACAAGATTTACTATTAGAGTTTATGGGATTGTTTTTGTATTTTACTATTGCAACCGTGTATAATAGACAAGTAATAATAATTAAAAAAAGCTCACTGCCCAGGACAAGTTACCAGTATATTCAAATGACAAGACAGAAATGACATAGATATTTGAATTTTAAAACGGACAATTAAGATATTTCTCATTGCCACTGAAGACAGTGGGCAATCAAACTTGTTAGTGACTTCTGAAGAATCAACTGAGTAGGAGAGTTTACATTTACTATTTTGACTGTGGGCCTCTCTCTTATTGAAGCCCTTTCATTTGGCACATGGCATTATACATACTTAAAGGAATAAATACCTACTAGACATTTCAGATCTCCAATATATTTTGCATCAATTCACAGGTGGTCCATGTTCTGGAGTTTGTAGTCAGAACAGTAATATACCTATCTCATTTACTATCAAACAAATATTTCCAAAGATGCTACAGTCTAAACGTATGTCGTCACATACATGTATGGAAGTTTTTACTTTTGATCTTCCACTGAAATGTGATGTCAACTGTAGTATCATTGTTAACATTTTCTTTGTCCCCAGATTTTTTCTCTTTAATTTAACTTTTGCAGAAAACAATAAAATTCTACTGTCAGGACTAATTTAAGGCCCAATCATGCAAACATTTGCATTGGTGGATAGTCACATGGAGTTGATAGGACTACTCACATGTGTAAAAAGTTATTCATGAGCAGAGTTAGGTCCCAATCCTGAAAATGCACACGTCAGGACTCCTGTTTTCTGAGGCCACATTAAATTGACAGTAAGAGAAAAACTCATTATCTCCAGAGTGAACCAGTCTAAATGATATTCATGAAGCACCAACATAAATCAGAAAGGTCACCTTTCTGAATTCAGAACTGGGTCATTCTAGTCACCTCTTTCACCTCTAATAGTTGCATTTGAATGAACGCAGCAATTTTTTTCCAAAACAAAAGATGAACCCAACAACAAACATTTCCATAATAAAGTCAGGAATTCATTTACTAATTGTCAAGAATAAAATCATCTCAATTTGAGTTTCCAGGTGCAGAAGTAAAAACTAAAAGGTGTGTCTTGTTCTCCTCAGCAACACTTATTCAAAAGGCTATACAACAAAACCAGTACTCTGTGAGTTAGATTAGCAATGATACAACACCTCATAAAAAAGTTCAGTCACCTTAAACTATCCTGCAAGTGGTAAATAAACTGGCAGCATACAGTTAAAACACAATGCTGCATCAATAATTAGGTTCTCTTGCCAACAACAACAGCATATAGTTATTCTTACATATGGTTTTGGCCACAAAGAAATATCTAGCAAGTTTGGACATCAGTTGTTTGCACTTTGGTTTCCAGTAACACTTTTTAAGACTTTTTTTATGAATGGTATCCTATGACTGAACCATAGATATTAGTGTAATGTATGAGATTTTCATTTTTTAGGGTTGTTTTTTTTCTTAACATCAAGAAAGAGGATGTACTGATTAACCATTAATAACATAAATAAAACTATCAAAGGAACCAAAAAACTAATCATTCAAATATTGAGGAGCAAGATAACCTTTTAGAGACTAAGTTTTACATCTTAAAGAACAGCCAATTCCTCCTAGAAAAAATTCTACTTTTGAAAATGACCATTTTTTACTACATTTTGTTACTAGCTGACATTTGCATTACAGTTTTTTGTGGTGAGAAGTTGCTTCTGCTTATTACTTCCCAATGACTTCATAATTCTTTAAGTGAAATCATAACCATAATTTCCAAAAAATCCAATTTAATTTCATGAAGTATTAGGATTTGATATGGTGAGGGGCAAGAACAGAGTAACTTATAGAACTAAGATCCTGTTTTCATGAAAACAAACCTCCTAATAAGAAATAAGGGAACCCACAGAACAAGATAAAGGTGTGATTTCCTATTTAGAAACAGTTTTTTTTCAAATTTTGCTATCAGTATCAGTGTGTCTAAGCGAGTACCAACCTATTTAACAGAACAATCCATTGCAGTTAGCTTCTTGAAACCAAATATCATACAAACCTAATTCAGTGGCTTATTTTTTAGACAGTATCTTCTCAGCAGCTTGTTAAAGTCACTGTGAAATTGTCTGTTGCAGTCTCAATCTTAGACAAAATTGTTAGTCTTAAAGAGTTAGCTCACTAATAAATTATAAATGTTCAAATTATTAAAATTACACTCAATAGAGGGTTCTGTTTGATACATTGTTAGCTCTGTCCTAATCAAAATTTTGGTCAAGAAACGTATGTAAACAAAGATAATACACTTAAGGCTTAGAAAGAACACTGATAAATTCATCCCTGTCACATTAAAACATCCACATCTCCTTCATGGTCCTCCTCAGTCACTTTTAAAGAGAGCACTTCTTCATTAAGAAACAATCCGCTCAGTCTTTCCTTACGAGCCTGTCTCTGCTCTTTCAGCTGTCTCTTGCGTAAAGCCTTTTGCTGGAGCTTCCGTTGCTTAGAACGTTTCTGTCAAAATAAAGACAAATGGCAAAATGAGTTCTTGTATATCTAGACTACTGGAATAAATGGTCCTTTATTAGAAACATTAAAGGTGGATTTTAGTGAACATAAAACTGCTCTGAGAAGTGACTAAAAAAAAGGCACCCTTACTCAGATCTATTCCATGTGTTTATTCAAAAATCATACTTAATTTTGTCACTAAAATGAGCAACTTTTTACTGTTTAGCCATGCAGAGCTAATGCAACTAAGAGTGAACAAAATGCAAATTCTATTCCATGTTGTGCATTGTCGAAACTTTTAAGTATCTATCAGTTATATTTGTGCAAGCTCACTGGAAGGTAAAACTGAGCCTTTGAGATGAAGAACCTTAACTATAAGTGATGAATCACGAGACCAAGAGAAATCAGCTTGTCTTAAAGCCCAGACTGAGTTTGCAAAATTGGAAGAAATATACACACAAAATGAAAATCATTGAGACACAGATGCCATAATGTTACTTTTAAAGAATCACTTCTCAGTGTACAACCATGGACAAGTAACCTATGAGAAATACGTTGAAAAAACAAAAAGAAATTAGGAAATCAGACAAGTTCTATCACAAAGATCAAGATATTCTTTAATATTCATGTATTGTGCTCTGAAAGATTAAATTGATCTTTAATCATTTCAAAGAAAGAACACATGCTTTTACCATTAAAAAAGTCAAGCTGATTTAGCAGCTCTTTAAATGTTCAAACAAAAAAATCAAACTAGTTTAAGCCCTACCAAATAGACATGTCTCAAAATAATTCTTCACTTGCCAAAAAAAAAAGTGATGCCAAGCAATAGAAGAACACCTTTAGACACTTTACTAGCGTGTCATGGGGCAACGAGTCAAATCATTTCCTTGGGTCCTGCAACTATCAATGATACTTGTTCTTTCAGTAAAAATATGACAATCAATTCACGTAAGTGTCTTTAACAAACAATTGATGTGCACACTCACTCTCTCTCTCTCACACACACACACACACACACACACACACACACACACACGTAATTAGAAGTTTTACTTTTGAATCCCGGATTCTCTCTGCAGCACTGGTGGATAAGTTACTATCACTGTGCGCTCGACTCATGTTGGCACTGGAATTTGAAGCAGAGTTGCCAACACTGGAACTGCTGCTGCTTGCTGAGCTGACCATACTGGCACTGCTACTGCTGGCACTTGCACCGCTCACGCCACTGGTGCTTGCGCAACTGTAGCTGCTTCTCTTCCAGCTTTCCCTTGCAGATCGTTGTCGAGGACCGTGCTCCTTGATATAGTTTCTCACCTTTAGAACAAAAGCATTAAAAATGATAAAAGCTTGATTGGTACTGCACTGTTTTGTGACAGCATATTTCATGGAAAAGCTGTATGTTTTATGTTTATTACAGCTAAGTTCTGGGGGAAAAAACTAAACCAAGAACAGTCTAAAACAGGGATTCAGTTGGCCAGTTAAAACTCTTATTGTAATGACACTATTAACATCTTCACTTCGGCTTTCTTATAATAGACTTAATTAGCTAGAGAATTACTTGCCTGACCTTTTTACATTTCTTCCCCTTTCTATTTAATGTATTACAAAAATGATACCACCATGTAGAGGTCAGCCATAGTAGTAAAAAGACAACTAACATTTGTTTAAGCAAATTATGTTTTATAAACTTATTGTACTACATAGACATATCCAGTAGTAACCCTCAGAAGAGTAGATTCTTACCCCTATTAGGGGTTTTTAAGTGTTCTGAAATATGAAATGGGCATGAATCTATGAGGGACCTGAATGCTCTCAATTTCGACTGAATTCAATAAAAGCTGAGGGTGCTTGCCATCATGCCAAAACTGGCCTGCAAAATAGGTTCAGCAATAATATAAGTGGAGGGAAAACAAAGCTTATGATAAAGATGAAGCTATGCAGTACTATCCACCTCATCAAATGACACTAAGGGTTGGCTGAATAGCTACTCTGCACTCGCAGTGAAGAGTTATTTTTGCTCTATTTTCTATAAGGCCAATAATCCTCTTGCTTCAATAAGTTTTTTCCCCGCAAAAAATATTCATATAGAAAGCTGCCAAATCAATCAGAAGAATTACATCATCTCTCAGGAGAATTCGAGTTTTGTAAGAACAAGAAATCCAAATACAAGAAAAAGGGTAAGCTACTTCCAAAGTAATGATCTAGCCTTTAATCAATTGCTACTCAATATGTGCCTTTGGATTTAAGTTTAGTTTTTGCAAGCAAATTAAGGCCCCAATCCTGTAAATGCTTATGTACGTGTATAATTATAGTCACACAGTACCTTCCTTCACTTTGGGACTACTCATGTGAGTGAAGTTACACGCCAGAGGAAGTATTTTCAGGATTGAGGCCTAAATCTTGAAAGTTACTCAGCGAGTATTTTGTCTGAAACTTTCATATGCCAGAAATAACTTACCACTTCAGTCACGTTTATGTAATTAATGTGTTTCATATAAGGTCCAAGATCACATACTGATATGAAACTGTTGAAGAAAGCCAAAGTTCAACAACATACTTTGTGTTCCATCCTGCCCACTGGTACTCCATGAACATGGAAAAAAAATTAGTCACAACCCAATAGATGATTTTCCAAGACATGTATCGAGACATACCACATGTCAGAGGGCAATGGTATCTCCAGTTCAAGAGAGACATACAAACATTTTAACCTACCTGTTTCAATTTTTCATCTGTGAGACAGTTTAATTCAATAATAAACTCGCTATCTGTAGGCGAGATCTGAGCAGTGGGATCAATAATTTTAATGATATCAAGTTGCTCTCGAAGACCCATCTCAGTACTGACTTTCCGACTCAGGTATTCAATATATTCAACCTAATAAAAACAAAACGCAAAGTTATTAAAAACTGCTAGCTCTTAATATGAGTCAAAGCAGAAGTAAAAGGAAGGAACCAGTACCATGTGGGATCAAAGAAATGCTCTCAAATGTTGCATTTCCTATGATTCTTGACTCAACCTAGTTGAGTATCATCGAAGATAAAAATTCAGAATGAAAAGTAAAAGTTAACCGTCTCTATATGAACATTTGACAAGGAATTTGATCTCTCACTTCAATAGCTTTGTACAACTGTTCAAAATCATGCTTACATTTCTGTAACCAATAGAACTTTTATTAAACAATTTAATTGAGTCTTAATTATTCTGTACATCTATACTGGTTCTCTCCAATACAAATGAAAACAAAGCTTACCTGTTCATCATTTGTCATCGCGCTCCACGGGAGTTCATCAAGATTCCTATGCTTGTTTTTCTTTTTTGGAAGCAAGCACGGAGAGCTTGGAATACTAGGTATGACATCAGAAAGTACATCACTCCCACTTGCAATGTCACTGCCAGGCAACTTGTAGGTGTGCAAAGAAAAAAAAGAAACAGAACAAATTCTCAAAATATGCTAGGTAGGAGTAGAAAAATAGTCAGACCAATACTATTAACCATGCAAAATATGCTGTCAAATGGACAAAGGATCAGTTCTTAATCCAAACAAACAATTGCCCAGCAATGATTTACAACTCCAAAGCACAAAAGTTAATTTCATGACCCAGCTGCAGTAGTGAAGTGTAGCAAACTCAAACTATGCAGCTTTCTACTTCACGACTTCCCTTTTCAATTTGCGTTCAGGGAAATGGCAGAATTATGCAGCATTTCACTCTTCCCTATCCATTAACATGCTATGCTAGTATATTCTATTCCTGGGGGAATTCTGCACCACTGCGCATGAGAGGTAAATCACTGGGGAAGAGGGCAGGACTGGGGAAGACCCAGCTGGTGGCTCCTACCCTTGCACTGGGCTCAGCTGCTAGTCCCAGCTGGACTGGGGAGGATTGGACTTCCTCTTCCCCTGCACAGCATCCGGGAATGGGTCAGACCCACCCCCAGATTTCTCCCCCAGCTGTAGGAAGCTCTGCAAACTCCCCCGCACTTCCTGCACCCATGGCTCTTCAGCTGCAGGGAGAAGGATCTCTGTGCAGGGAGCTGCTCCCCCATTCACCCAACCCCCATGCATCCAGACCTTCCCGCTGAGCCTTACTCCCCTGCACTCAGAACCCCTTCCTGATAAGCCCCACTCCCCCTGCACCTGGACCATGCCAACAAGCCACCCACACCCCGATCCTCACCTCACCAAGCCCCAACCAGTTGCACCTGGATGCCCACCCCACCAGGGCCGGCTCCAGGTTTTCTGCCGCCCCAAGTGGCACAAAAAAAAAAAAAGCAAGCCGCAGCAGCACAATCGCGTCGCTCCACTCTTCAGTGGCAATTCGGCGGCAGGTCCTTCGCTCTGAGAGGCAACTTGTAGGGACTCGCTGCCAAACTGCCGCCAAAGACCCAGACATGCCGCCCCAATAGCAGCCGGAGTGCCGCCCCAAGCACCTACTTTTTTAGCTGGTGCCTGGAGCCGGCCCTGCACCCCACTGAGCCCCACTCCCCCAGCATCTGGATGCCTCACTGAGCCCCCCACACCCAGACCCCACCCCCCGTGCTGAGCCCCAAACACCTTCACCTGGACCCCCCTACAAAGTCCCATTACTGTTGCACCCAGAACCCCCCCAACAAGCCCCTTAGCATCCAGATCTCCCACTGAGCCGCCCGCACCCAGATGGTCCCACACAGAACCCTCTCAACCCACACCTGGATCCCCCCACACTAAGATCCTGCCTTGCTGAGCCTGCCTGCTCACACCTGGCACGAAGGGGCAGGGCCCTGGATGGTTTCTTGGGCAGACCCGGTCCTTGTGCTGTGTCAGGGTTGGGTGCAGCTTCACCACTGAGTCCATATCCTGGAGGGGAGCTGCACTGTGATCTCCCACCTCTGTTCAGCCAGTGGCCTGTGCTTCCTAATGCCATAGTGGAGCCTCCCCATTTGACAAATAAAATTTGCAGAATTTTAAAATATTGTGTGCAGAATTTTTAATTTTTTGGCGCAGAATGCCCTCAGGAGTAATGTTCTCTATTAACGCATCATTCTCTGCCAAGCATCATCCAACAGGAATGGTCATTGTGAATGGAAATCAAGTGAACCTATTTGCCTAAGCTCTGTTAGAGTCAAACTTTTTACACCAGAAGGAATTTAAAAAAAATAATTAGCCAAATACAAGCTGGTTAAGCCGGCACTATTGGAACAGTGCTAGAGCAGCTGGCTACGAACACACTGCCTTCTCTGATGGAGTTCTGTCCAATTTCACTCAGTGAGGTTTTACATGAGCTGCAGCCAACTACATCAATCTGGAGCCTGGCCACGTGGCTAATGAATTCTAATGAGAAGGGTTTTAGTCCTTCATTGAGGATTGTTAATGTTTCCCATTGTGAAGCCAGGGTGCCAGCTATACTTAAATAGCACATGAAGAAGCGCCTACTCAGAAAATCACCACTAGTCAACTATTGGACAGTCTCTTACTCACCAATTTTAAGGAAGCTCAGTGACAGAGTAGTACTAAAGAAACTTCAGACAAATATTGAGGTTGAGGGTGCCCTCAACTAATGCCAGATTTCAGAGGTGGGGACAGGCCAAACTCAACTACAATGGAAGCAATGCGGATGGCTAAGGAGAAGTATCTGGGCAGAACTAGCAAAGGTGAAAAGACCACCTTCCATTTGTGTGGGTGTAGGTGCAACCTTTGCCAACAGTTTGCAGTCTGGATTTTATCACTACACCTGAGGTCTCAGCTATTACCTGTAGGACATACTATCTTTTTTCGTGTATGGCTGGCCTGGAGGTTGTGATCATTGTTTTCTGAGGCATCCCCAAACCAGTGATCCATGTTTATTACCTCCAGACTGCATTACTGCAACATATGCTACTTGGGTCTAGCCTTGAAAAGTCCCTAAAAGCTTCAGTTAGTGCAGGATGCAGCACAAACCTTTTGTCCGCAATGGCTACTTACTCACTTCGGTGCTGAGTACCATTCAAGAGGATATTTATAATCTGGAACTTCTCTCTCCTCCATCACATGAGTAACTCTGTCAATATATGTAGCTGAAACTTCCCATGGCAGGGCAAAGTGCTCCTTCTAGAAGTCCACCACAGCCAGAGTTTAACATGCTTCAGGGCAGTACAATACTTATCTGTTTGGTCAAATTTCTGAGAATGTTTTATTTAGTTTATCAATAGGAAGTGGAGGAACGGGGTTTAATTGCTGACCTTTACATTGAAAAGCTGGTATTTTATAATAACTAGTTTCTTTTATAAAATAAGGTGCTCAGATGCTTAGAGAAGGGAAGCAACAAATTTATAAATTAATTTTAAAATGGTTATTGCAATTGGTTTAAATTGATTTTATGGATTTAAGTTTACTTTGATTAGATTTTGGTTTTCAAAATTGCATGTGTTATATACATACCAATTCCTGGAACATGCAGAATTTGAGTTTTTCACATTTAAAAAAAAAGTGTTAATACATAAATGTTTTGGAGGTTTATTTTAAGAAGATGGACTTTTTTGTTCATTCCTATTAACATAAATAACACTTTTAAAAAAGACTATTCAAAAGTTTAAAAATAAAACTCAAATGATAGTACATTGTTACTTAAACCCAGGAGGCCCTAATGTTGCAGAAATACTATTATTGTCATTTAAGGATGGTAATTCATTGTTTTAGATCCTGCAAAGATGAACGTATGCACATATAAAAAATGGTAGCTTTAAATTGCAATGGGATGCCCTAAAATAAAGGTATTTATTAAATTTTTGGGTAAAATTATTCAGTTTACTATCTTTTGTTTATCGAGCCACGATTCTAATTATGGAGGTTATTTATTAAAAATAAGACATTCTGAACCATACAGTTCTAATTACCTGCACGTTTGTGTACCCAGGGAACCCATAATTAACCTGTCATAATTACAGGTGTTTAATAGAAGTTATATAATTGGGAATATTTTCCATTGTAAAATAAACAAACATTCAATTCCAAAAGTATGGTTTGAGAAGATTGGAAACCTATTTATTTGTACTCTACACAGTAACTACACAAGAAACCTGCATCATGTTTTTTTTCTTGTAAGCAACAGCTGAATAATAACTAGCTTCATTTGTACAACTGACATTAATTTCTGATCCACTTCAAGTGTAAATGTGACAACTGAATTACTCACTTACGGAATTTGCTGTGTAAGGTGGTAAAAGCAATGAAAAATCTTTTCCAAAGCTCTACAAGTCCAGTCAAGTAGGTCTCTTCTAGCAAATGCTTACAGAAAAAAATGTCCAGTAACTACTCAAAAGGAAAGCTGCCAGCTAATCAACTAACCAGAAAACTCTCTTTTAAAATTACAATCCCACTGTGTCCACCTGGTAATTAATATTTCACATCTCAATGAGGAACTAAGTCATCCGGGTAATTTTCTGAGGTATTTCTATAAGCTACATTATAGAATTCCAATTGCAGTTTTTTTTGTATAAGGGATATAGTTGGAAATTGGGATTCTAAAGCTGCAGTAAGAAACATGGAGCTACTTTTAGCGAATGCTAGCCTACACAATGTCACTGACAGTTTCTCTTTTGCAGGATATCTGTAACATTCCTAATTCATCATGGAATGCTTAAATTGGGGTGGAGGGGGGTTAAATCACATTTGGAACAGACAGTATATTTCTATGGCCACAGAGTATTACATACACTGTATGACATGACTAAAGTCCATGAAAGATAAAGGGAACATTATGCTTTTAACTGATGATTACACTTATCCTAGAACAGCATGCGCCATATATTTTAATTGTAGTTAAATAATCAAATCTAAACCTGTAACAGAAAGAATGTCTGCACGTTCCACAGGTGAAAGACTGCTATATGCAAACACAAAAACAAAATTGTGAAGATACTAGATTAGAATCTGATGTCAGATCGAATTGCACGTAACAGACTGGGAGGAAAGTGCCAAGGTAGCACAAAGCTCATCTTTGCACTCTTCCCATCCTTGGACCACAGAGCACACGGCTGGTCCACAGTGATTACTAACGACCCCACAGACCCAAAAATCACAAATGGGAATTAAGAACACAGCGGCAACCCAGCCACACCAGAATGCCAATGCAAGATATACACAGCAGATTCCAATACATGTGCAGATGCCCCACACCAAAGGATTGGGCCTCATAGATGCAAGATATGCTGATAACTAAAAATGAACGTGACCATAATATGCAACAGCCCTATTTCAGAAGCTGGTCAGGTCTCGTCATCAAAATTCTATACGGGAACTTTGTAATAAAATGGTCTATCAAAACACTTCCTTTACTGCTGAATCTCAGTATAGGCAGTGGGAGTTTATCGTGCCATCAGAGAGCCCCAGACATTTACTTCTGAGTCAAAACTGCAAACAGCAGCTAGTAGATCCCACTTCATCTGCTGTGTTGACCATAGAAATAGTTTACCTGCCACTCAAACTCGCTGTCTGACCAATCCCAGTATGTGCTAATAGAAGAGGAGACATCACTGCAGACACTACCCTCTGGGAACAGATCAAAAGATGTGAACTCCTGGTCATCCAATAGAGAGTAGCAGTCATCCTGATCACCAACTGAAACTGATGAAAACAGCTCCTCGCTGCATTCTGAGCTGGCTACACTTGTTCCACAAGAAGTCAAGTTCCACCTGCAAAGCATACCAAACAAATTAACAGCAGTACACACACTCACCGAAAAAATGCTTTGTCCTTTGAAGATGTACATTACAATATTCATACCTTTGTATCAGTTGTTACATGTGGATTTTGCTGGAAATAAGTTAATTCATCTAATAAGCTGCATTTAAATAGATATTAAGGGTCTAATTTACGCACACAAAATCAAGAAAAATTCAAAGGATGAATACTCAGACACAAAGACTCTGGTGAATTTTTTTATTACACATAGAGAGCCATAATTGCCTCATATTTATGAGTCTCAGATTTCTAATTAAATGTAGTTTTGAAAAATGATTTCCAGTTTGTTTAAACCTCCATTAAAAGTATTCCCATAATAGGCATGACAAAATTAAAGGTACCAACACTAGATGAGGGAGGGAGGATGGTCTTGTTTTAAAAGACAGAACAGGGAGTCAGCAAGCATAACTCTCTCTCATGTGAGTAGATCCCATGAAGTTAGTGCTTGCCAGGGAAACATCTGGGACTCATTTACTCAATATTTTGGGCTCTGTTCTCAAAGCCAAAAAAGACATAGGATACAGAGCTTTTAATTCTAAAGACGACACAGAAAAACAGAAAGCGATCCACATGAAAAAAATCCAATACCTCAGTCAATACTAATTAAAAAGAATTATGTTATCCACAGCTTCATTATTACAAATTAGTTAATTGTGCTAAACTGGAAAGTCTGTCTGTTCCCACGGAAAGCCGTGGAACAGGTTTTCACTCTGCTGACCTACTCACATGAAGTTTAGCAAGGTCAGAAAATTTGTTTCAGCATCTCAATTATTTTTCACCAATATGATGAGCAGAGACTTGACTATGTTTCACAATTGGACAGCATTCTGGCCCAATCCCAGAAGAGTTTGGAAAATTCAAAGGTTTCCAAAATTCACTGTACAAAGCCATACAAGCTACGTTTAACCTTTGAAGTTTTATTCATTTGACATATTGATTACTATTGGAGTATCCCTTTAATCACAGACTGAAGAGCAACACCTTCTGATGTGGGAAGCATGTCCCTCAGCACCTTTACTTGATTTACACATATGCTTGCTTGTCAACACTTATGTTTCTTGGATGGCATCTGCACATTCCAATAGGCCAAATATTTGCCCTAAATCTTTAATGAATGAAGACGGGTGGCCTAAATAATACTGTAATTGCCATTTCCTACAGGAAGTTCATGGTCTGTAAAAGCCATTGCTAGCCTCCTTACACTTGATCAGACACAAACACCAAAACAGTTCAAAAACTTGATGAAAGAAAAAGTGGTGTCGGGCTGCTGAACATAGTACACCTAAGTACATGAGAAATGAGAATTGCATTATATTTACTTGAAAATTCAAAAGATACAGAGCACTTGCAGACACTATGGAAGTGAGTAGACTATTCCAAAAGATGACAAGGACAAAGTGAATTAAAAAAAATAATGAAGACAAGTTATACACTTTCCTAAAAAAATGAGGAACTAGCTCAAGGTGCAGAATACTGACTAGTTAATTGACAGAGGCTTGGTTACACATGCTCAGAAACTTGAATGACAGGTATGTTATAAGGAGGAACATTTAAAAATAGCCTACACATACATTTACAAGCTTGCCACTCACATCGATCCAAAGATTGATCAGAAATACATGAACCTATTGTTTAGGTCACATGCAGGCTTTATAGAAGTAAAGTGCAAAAGCCCAGAGGGAGAAAATGTAATTGAATTCACACTGAGAAATGAAAGCACACTTATTTGATCATGTTTGTATTAGAATGATGGATAGCAATGCTATGATTAAGGGCCTGTCAGCTTTTCCACTGTCAATCATCTTTCTAAGGCTATATCTACACTGCAACCCGTACAACGGCACAGTTTTGCCGCTGTAGCCCGCCATTGTAAGGTTCGCTGTGTGGCTGCTCTTTATCACTAGGAACGAGACAAAATAAAACCACCTCCAATGAGGGGCGGCAGTTTCATCAACGGCTGACGAAACACTGCCCCCACGGGCGCTTTTCATCACTAAAACTTTTGTCATTCGGGGGATGTTTTTTCACACCCCCGAGCGACAAAAGTTTTAGCAACAAAAGTGCCAGCGTAGACAAAGCCTAAGTTAACTTATTTTAATGTAAATTGAGCTGGAAGTTGGTATGTTACTTCTCAGTCTAAATTCAAACTTTGCAAAGTACCTGTCATATTTACATTAAATAATTAAAAAAAAAAATTAAAGTGTGGGGGAGTTAGATGCACATGTGTAATGCAAAAACATTTTTAAGTCTAAACTGAGAATCATCAAAACTATCTTGAATTCACATCTAAGGCCCAGATCTGAACGTAGTTGCAACTTTAGCGTGACTGATTATTGACATACAAAAAGTCACTTCTGGATACACATATATAAGATCTGCTTCTTGGGTAGACAAAATTATTTTTTCATTTTGGGAACGGATTTGTTTGTATTTTGTAGTAAACAGAAGTGGTAGTTTTTAGCAAAACTAGTTGAGCACTTTTGGAAGTTACACCTCACCAATGCCATAAGACTCGATTTGCACCAGAAAAATCAAACAGTTCTTAACCGAAATGTGAAGACTGCACTAGTTCAAGCAGAAACATTTAGATCCATCCACTCTAGCCATTCTGACTCATGTTCTGAATCTTTGTAGGTTTGCTTTGTGCCCACACTAGTGCTGTTCTAAATTGTTTCAGCTGCAACACCCTCTGAGTTCCTACACCACCGTTCCCAAACACAATGATTTCTAGAAGATTCAAAAAGGCCACAAACACACCATAGGATAGCTATCTGAACCATTTTAATACCAGCCATAAAGTCATTAAACTAATTAGCCCTGCAGAAAGCAAGCCTAATCCAAACGGAATTTGGCATGTATGTGGGCTGGCTGTGTTTTACAAGCATGCTGGGATTGGGGTGTAGGAGAAGCAAATAGTTACTAGCATAGTAAAAAGCGACAGAGTCCTGTACTCTGTTTTACAGATCCGGACTAACAGGGCTACCCCTCTGATACTTAGCATAGTAAGGTTTTTTTAGCTTAGTGAAGGCTTACAGGAGATGCTACTATATCACTGTGGCTGGGCAGTAATACAGGGATTTGCAAACTTCTTGGGGGTGGGCGAGGAGGGAACTAAGGCACAGAAAGGCCTTATCTACATTAGGGAAACGGGTGCTATTTCCCAACCCAGCTAGCTCAATTTAAACTAACTCAACTCTTGCCTAAACTCTCATTCTACCTACCAAAATGGTCAGCTACTCTCTGGCGATGGAGGGGTTTCAATGAACCTGAGCAGACTGCACTAACTCTACTGGGGGGGAACCACCTTTACTCCTACTGGCAGATTCAGGAAAACAACTCGGTCGGGGACAACCCCATCCACCCAAGAGGCAGGGAGAGAGCTGAGCACTTACTGCCTGTGCCAGGCACAGCCAGGGGGTGAGGGCAGGGCAAGCACCACAAAGAGCCGGGGGCTCGCTCCCCACGCAGGGGAACAGCTCCCCGCCCCGTGGCCGGGCTGCCTAGAGGGGGACCCCTGGGGCGCCGCCCCCCCGGCCCCGCACCTGCTGGAGTGGAAGCGGCGCAGCGGGTCGGTGCGGTGGCAGGACGAGAGCTGGCAGCCGAAGTCGCTGACATCCAGGCAGCCCTCCTCGCTCAGGCTGGCGGCCCGCGGCGGGGGCTGGTGGCAGAGCAGCGGGCAGGGCTCGTCCGGGGCCAGGAACTTCTCGTACAACGCCTCGCTCATGGCGCCGCGGGCAGGGCGGGGGGCCCGGGCGGCGGCTCTGGCTCGGGCTCGCCCGGCCTCAAGCACCTGCTGCTCTCGCGGGCCCACGGCGCCACCATGGACGGAGGCCCGGCCGGGGGAGCGCGGGGCCGCGGGCTCTGCGAGCTGCTCACACACACTGCAGCCGGGCCGCGGGAGCCGCCATTACAGGCCGGCCGGTGCCAGGCTTCAATCCGCTCAGAGCGGGAGCCAGCCGCTTCCGGCTCCGGGAAGAGATAGGGAGGCTGCGCCCCCTGCTGCGACGGAGGGGAACTACGGCCTAAGCCGCCAGTGATCAGAGCCCAGACCCGTCAACAACACCGCTGGAGAGAGACACACAGTATCCAACACCACTAGACACATATCCAGCAACACACACACACAACTTATACCCAGAGCAACCCCAGCCATGCACACAGCCCAGACCCAGCATACACCAGCCACACACACACCATACCCAGGAACTACCCCCTGTCACACACACATACCCCATCCCCAGCAACACACATACACACACACACACAACTTATACCCAGGAGCAACCCCAGCCATGCACACAGTCCAGACCCAGCATACACCAGCCACACACATACACCATACCCAGGAACACCCCCGTCACACACACATATCCCATCCCCAGCAACACACACACACCTTACACCCAGGAGCAACCTCAGCCATTCACACAGCCCGTACCCAGCAATACACCCAGCATACACCAGCCACACACACCATACCCAGGAACATCCCACTGCACACACACATACCCCATCCCCAGCAACACACATACACACACACACACAACTTATACCCAGGAGCAACCCCAGCCATGCACACAGTCCAGACCCAGCATACACCAGCCACACACATACACCATACCCAGGAACACCCCCGTCACACACACATACCCTATCCCCAGCAACACACACACAACTTATACCCAGGAGCAACCTCAGCCATTCACACAGCCAGTACCCAGCAATACACCCAGCATACACCAGCCACACACACCATACACAGGAACACCCCCGTCACACACACATACCCTATCCCCAGCAACACACACACAACTTATACCCAGGAGCAACCTCAGCCATTCACACAGCCAGTACCCAGCAATACACCCAGCATACACCAGGAACATTCCCTGTCACACACACAAATCCCATCCCCGGCAACACACACACACAACTTATACCCAGGAGCAACCCCAGCCATGCACACAGTCCAGACCCAGCATACACCAGCCACACACATACACCATACCCAGGAACACCCCCGTCACACACACATACCCTATCCCCAGCAACACACACACAACTTATACCCAGGAGCAACC